CCCTAAATTAACACTTTGTAGCGTTTTCATGAGAAAACTGATCCCAAACTGGCAATTTTGTTTGCCTTGAAATAAAAGTTGTTAAAAGAAGCTTTCTTGAACTGAGAGAATGTAAAATATTAAAGCAAATTAATGGAATTTGTGGTGTTATGGAATTTCCTTTATCGTTTTCAGATTTTCTGTCTGAAGTGTGAAGAAACACATCCCTTCCTCCTTTCTTGTTCTGGGGAATTCTTATTCTGCGTTCTGCAGAATAGTATAGATTGCCTTCTAGTGGCAAAGAGAGGAATACACTGTACTGTTTTGATAGGAACAAAATGTTTAAAATGTACAATATAGACTGAATATTAAATTTGATATTATTCTAACATTTCCCCAGTGATCAATATAGTCTGTTATTATTAGAAGGTTTGATTTACTCGGCATTCAAAACCTAGGCGTTTAAAATCCAGCAAACCTGGGTTATACAGTATTATTATCAATTTGTATGCTTTAAGAAGCACCTAGGTGACTTTGGTTGATTTGTGAAAGCCATGGAAGCTCAAACCTAGTTTGTACTTGGAAGGACAGATTACCAGGGGACCCTAGAACTGGAAGACTGAGAAGTTTGTTTTTTTTTTTAAAGAAAAACACTGCTGAAAAGGTCAAGAAATCTCTGTCGGCATGACCTTGAAACTTGACTTGAAGGAATCTTTCTTTTTCATGGTCCAATATTAATTATATATATATATATATATATATTGGAAATATGTTAGATGAGACTTTCCCTCCATCTCTCTTTCTCATTCTCTCTTTCTCTCCTTTTCTTTCTCTCTCTTCCCCCTCCCTCTGCCTACCTACCCTCCTACCTAACTGAGATGATTAATCCATGAGATGTAAGCCCATGTAATCTTATGTAGCTCTCCAGGTGTTTCCATATGGCTTTCAGCAGGGCCTATGACTCTTCCCACCATCTTGCACTTTACTGATTCAGTGCTGTTGGAACTGACATTTCTGAAACAGCTCATTCCTGCTGGCCCCCCCAAAACAACATCTATGGGAGTGATGACTGCAGCAATAGTGTTAATCAGGGCAGAACAAATAGGATCTCTCAAAGCGGAAAAGACGTAAGCAGTGCCTCTATGTGTATAGTCATGCACCTGTTACAGATACAAACTGTGTGTGCATAGATGGCTTCCAAGCATCACAGCAGCATGTTCCCCATCCCCGCATCCCATCCCCAGAACTAATTAGCATTTAGAGTATTCAAGTTAAGTGTACTAGAGCTTATTAAGCCATACATTCTGCAAAGTCTGAATTGCTGCCTCTTCGTAAGCATCACATAGTGAGTTTGCGTCCTTCACACAAGTCTCTTTCCACTTCTCTTTTCTGATGGAATGTGGCAATTGGATCCCTCCCAAATACTGACCAGGCTGAATGATGCTGTAGTTAATCCTTTTTGACAAAAAGCCCATATTGCATAATGCAAACGTTTGCTAAGCTTACAGGGTGTGCATATAATGAAGAGGAAAAGGTACATCATGCTCTGCAAAATGCTCAGAGACAAAAGTTTAGTATATGGTTCTGGTTAAAGGAAGCAAGTCCTTATGAATGAATGTCCCAAAGGTGCTTTTTCAAGAGGCAACTGGGCTTTGTTTTTCTCTTTGAAGACATTTTGCTTCTCAGAGTTGAAGAAACCTCTTAGATGAGAAGTGAAACGTCTTCAAAGAAAAACAAACAGAAAGTCCAGTTGGGACAACCATGACCTGGATGACTGAGAATCTCCATCGACATTTATGAAATGAACACTTTCTTATTATTTTTAGGAGAGCAGAAAGCAGGAATAGTTTCCAAGTGATAGGGCAGTAGTCTGAATCTTCCCTTTCAAAATGGGTTTAGAGTTTTGCCTGTTTATTTTCTGACATGAACAATATAGAAGTGAAGTGTTTTTAAAGCTTTTGGAAAGATGCAGGAATTAATCTGATTTGATGTATTAAGTAGATTATGTTGTTCCATTCAAATTAAGTTTATCAGATAACATCTGGTGGGAACAGAAGACTCAGTGTTCTAATATGACTGACTGCAGTTAATATTGATTTGCTTTTTACACAATTACGGTTGACCTCCTTGTGTTGTAGATTCATTTTCCAGAGTTGCTTTGCTCTTTTTGACAGCTGTCACTAGAAAGACAGAATTCATTGTAACAGCTCCATTACCATTTTGCCTTATCTTTTGAAACAAGAACACTTTACACTAAGTGATTTATCAGCAAGATGAATTAATTTTCCTTAGCATGTCTATGGAGATGCTCAATCATCCAGGTCATGGTTGTCCCAAAGGTGCTTTTTCAAGAGGCGACTAGACTTTCTGGTTTTTGTTTGAAGATATTTTGCTTCTCATCCAAGAAGCTTCTTCAGCTCTGACTGGATTGTGAGGAATGGAAGGATTTGCATTCCTTGCAGAAAGCTGGTCATTTGCATTCTTTTAGCAAGTCATTAAGATCACCTGGAGTTTTATCTGTGTCACCTGAGTGGGGCAAATGGGTGTGGAGCCTTCTTGGAACAGTTGAAAGGACTGTGTTGTAGACTGGGTATATCATATGTCATATCCCTCTTCTGTTGAGAGAGAGAGAGAGCTGTTCAGTTTTGACATAGATGGCCTCTTTGATCCTTCTTTCAAACCAGCGGTCCTCCCTGTCCAAAACATGCTTTGCTGTCTTAGCCTTTGTCTTTTAAATGCAGATGAACTACTGAATCTAGTTTCCCAAGCATGTACATCATTTTTCTTATTGTCAGCCTTTTGGGGTAGTCCAGACAAAAGATCATAACCATGACTACTAATACTATTATTATAAGGTTACAGTAATCTTGCAAGTCCAAAAAACTCTTTTCTTCTCCCCTGCCTTTAATTTCCAGGGAGGGTCCCCTCTGAGATGCTTTCTCTACCCACATCTCTTCTTTAGACTCAAATTTCTCTTATTAGGACTGTTGTCTAGGCTGAGGCTCTTCCTCCTGTCTCCCAAAGTTATTTTCATAGCCCATTTTTATAACTATTCCCATTCAACTGTTCAATCATCTTCAAAAGAACTATGATTGAGAATGCCAATTTCACACAATCAGATGTGAGGGAGGGATCAGAGCACCCTGGGGAGGCCAGCTAATCAATGAACCAATTTAATATATTTTTATCTGTTCATCCCCTCATCATAACATATCCTCATACTTAAATACACATACAATTTTAGCTTTTGCTGTGTTCAGTAACCATATTATTTGATTCCCTATACCTTGCTTAACAAAGGACTCGTCCCTTTAAGAAAGTAACATAAAAGAAATAACATAAGAGTGAAATTTAAAAAGAAAGATAAGATAAAAGAAGTAGAAAAGAGTTGCAGGTAGGAAAAGAAAAGAAAAGGAGAAGCAGTTTCCAATTTTGGTAGTTACAACAAACTCATCAGCTCTCCTCTCTCTCTTCAAAGTTACAACATGTTTCTCATTTTCACATATTCAATCCCGTGAGTGAGCAAATGCATGAATCTCCAATTCATTTCCCCCTATTTTCTTCAAAAAGTCTAAAACAGGTTTCCAGTCTTTAAGTATTTGTTGTCTTTTTAAAATTATTATTATTATTTCATTCAATTGTGTCCACTTCTCAGGGACTGGCTATATACAATACGTCCCTGCAATTTTCTTGGCAAGATTTTTCAAAAGTGGTTTGCCATTGCCTTCTTCTAGGGTTGAGAGAAAATAATCCAGGGATTCATGCCTTAAAGCAGAGCTAGAACCCATAGCCTCCCAAGTTTCTAGCTCAATGCCTTAACCACTGCACCAAACTGGCTCCCACTTGTTGTCTTACCCCTTATGAAACAGATCAATTGTGTCATTTCCACATGTTCTGCTATTTTCACAATCCATTTGGTATTTCAGTGTTTTTACATCATGGTACATATAATAGTATCGCTGTAGCTACTATATACAAAATCAGTCTTCCATAAGTGCTAGCTAATTGGTTATCCACGAGTCCCAAATTTTGCGGAAAACTCTTCATTACTCCACTTTTAATTTTATACATGGGTACCTATGTGCTCTCATTCTCTATTCCTCTTATGTGGATAGATGTAAGTGTGTTTTGTACATTCCCTCCCTCCCAATTGGGATGCAGCCTTAGCAAACTGTTCTGTCAAGATTAATTTTCTTTGATGTAATGAGAGTAAATTTCAAAACTTTGCCAAGATAGTGGGGCACAAATATTGGTGAGGATGAAGGCTTGAGTTAGCTTTGCTTTTCTGTAGGTCCCCGATGCTTGGCTTGTGCCTGCCATCCCAACCTTCTTTGCCGAAAGCCTTTCTGAAAACTATGTGACATTTCAATCCTGATAGCAAAAGAGCATTCTTGCCATTATCTGGCAAAGTCACGTAGAATGTTTCAGCTCTTTGGCTTTCGTTGTGGAAAAAAGACAATGGAACATTACAAAGTGAAATGCAGTAATAACAAACTATATGGGTATGGTTATGTTAGAACTATTCAAATAGCAAAAAAGGATACATAGGAATAAATAAAGGGCATAGTTTATTAAAACATCCTCACTCTGCTCTATTTCCTGTCCTTCCTCAGAGAATTACTAAAACCAGGAACTGAAAGTTGTGTTCATTTTTTAAAGTTAACCAAGTATGACAGCTTTAAATAATGTGTTGTAAGGATAGCTTTTATAGTAGGAGGGCTGCCAATTATGATTTAAAGTTGTTGGAACATTGAAGATTTGCCCGTAATGAAGCAAGTCTCTCAATTTTCCTTTGTATGACATAATGTTCATTTTTTGGATTTATTAAAAACTATTTTTAAAGGGTACTTATGGATCAGTAGTTTTCCTTTCAGCAGAACCTTTATTATTTATTTTACATCAAAGATTGTCCTCTAGCCTGGATGACAGAATGAAGGACATTGCTTAGAAGCTACTAAAATTGGGTTTGCTAAATTTGTGGTTTATTATTTGTCACTGAAAAACCTTTCTTCTCTTTATAGATTTGTCTTCAGCAAAACGAAAATTTGCAGACTCCTTGAATGATTTCAAATTTCAATGTATAGGCGATGCAGAAACAGATGATGAAATATGTATAGGTAAGTGCATAGGCTTTGATTTAGACAAATGAGGCAATTCAATGGCTTAAATAGGAGGAATACAGATAAGAATGAAATGAAACATATCTACAGTAGTTAGGAAGGATGAGTCTGCAAATTATTACAAGTTGTCCTTGACACTTGACCATTATCGCGATTTCAACTTCTGTCACTAAATAATGTGATCATTAATTCCAAAGGTGCTTTTTTTCAAGAGGCAACTGTACTTTCTCGTTTTTCTTTGAAGACATTTTGCTTCTCATCCAAGAAGCTTCTTCAGCAATGACTGGATGGAGGGGAATGGAAGGATTTCTACCCCTTGTAGACAGCTGGTCATTTGCATTCTTTTAGCGAGTCATTGAGGCCAGTATCTCAAACTGAAGCGCAAATGGTTCCTGTAGTCTGCAGTTTTTCTGGAAATCCCATACCATTTGAAAGGTGTTCATCCCAAAGTACATAGCTAAATGTCTATGGAGATTCTCAGTCATCCAGGTCATGGTTGCCTCATGGTTGCCCCATGGTTGCCCCAAGGGTGCTTTTTAAAAAGACTTTAAGACCGGACTTTTCTTTGGGTTTTTTTCCCTTTGTTTTCAAAAACAAAACAAAACCAGAAAGTCCAGTTGTCTCTTGAAAGAAAGCACCTTTTGGGACAACCATGACCTGGACTTCTTCAAAGAAAAACCAGAAAGTCCAGTTGCCTCTTGAAAAAAAAAAGCACCTTTCAGATATTCAGGACCTGGATGATTGAGAATCTCCATACAAAGGTGATCATTAAGTGCATCATACTGATTTTACAATTCTTTTTTTTTGTCATGATTGTTAGCAAATCCAGCTTCCCCCATTGACTTTGCTAGACTGAAGCCCCCTAGGAAGGTCACAAATGGCAACCAGATGACCCTGAGACACCACAAATATTGTAAATACATATTTCAAAACATCCAGTTTTTGATCATGTGACCCTTGGACTGGGTGTAAGTCAATGTTTTCATGCCATCATAACTTTGAACAGCTGTTAAACAAATGATCACTAGTCGAGACAATCTGTAGCAAGCCTTTGGAAACTGAAATGATTTGATTTATTGATCAAATAAATAAATCAAATAAATATACAGTAGCCTTTCACGGGAAAAACAGCATTAGTAGTAGATGTAACTATATCCATAGTAGAACCCACAAATAGTTCTCTGTTGCCAATCTAGCAAACCAGGTAAGGTCCTCAAAAATTTCAAGGTGGGGCCGTTCACCCTGGTGCTGTTCTGCATTATGAAACAGTTGCACAGGGTTCCACCACAAAACCGCGCTCGACTAAACCGCGCCCGACTAAACCATGTCGCTGACATCATCAACAGGGTGACAACAGCGCGGAGACAGAAGCATGCTGTAAACCCTAAACCTAAAATTAACCCCTATACCTAAACCTAACCCCCCTAAACCTAATCCTAAACCTAATCCTAAACCTAACCCTAAACCTAACCCTAAACCTAACCCTTAACCTAACCCTAAACCTAACCCTAATCCTAACCCTTAACCTAACCCTAAACCTAAACCTAAACCTAATCCTAACCCTTAACCTAACCCTAACCCTAACCCTAACCCTTAACCTAACCCTAACCCTAAACCTAACCCTAACCCTAACCCTTAACCTAACCCTAAACCTAACCCTAAACCTAACCCTAAACCTAACCCTTACCTTAAGTTGAATCGGCTTGCTTTCAAAGCACTATTTAAAGCGCCCTTCTTTCTCAGCTGGCTGTTGTCGCCCTGTTGATGACGTTAGCGACGCGGTTTAATTGGGCGCGGTTTAGTCGAGCGCGGTTTTGACGGGTCACGGTTGCACAGTATAAACCAACTTCAAGGGCCATCTCATGAAGATTGCATTACAATGACACAGTTGTACATTGCCATGAGTTACTGAAAACATATCTCTGTGCTGAGGTAGGAATGCAATTGGTGTTCCCCTTGAAGCTGATCAAAGCCTCTCCTTTGCCTCTAATGCTTTGTGATTGTCCTGCATCAACGCTGAATCCAGGAGCACCTCCAACCTGCAAACCTCATTCTCAAAGAGAAATGCAGTTTTGTCCGGAATCGGTATTTTCCCTTAATCCTGAAATTCAGTCTCAGAAATAGTAACAATTCATGTTCAATTTCAATTTGCCTCTCACATTCAGTCGCTTACAACTTGTAGACATCCGGAGGCTCAAAGAATAGAAATGTAAGGTTATGTATCAAAGGCATGTTGATTACTAAGGCCAAACCTATGTATTCTTCTCAGTGGGTTCATATGAATATTAGATATCATGAGAAATAAATCCTTGCAGGACACTACATGGGATAGGTTTTCCCAATATCTGTTTTTGGTACTCCTGGAGCTGTAGGAATCATTGCAAGCAGCACCTCCACTCCCCAGTTCTTTCAAGTGTACCAAACAAATGGGCACCGGTGTCAGAAGTTACTGAGAGATCTTGTAATATAAATAAGATTGCAGCACCTCGTGTTCTTGTGATACAGTTTATCCATCAAGGCTGTGTCAGATCCAGGTCCAAATCTAGGGGAAAAAAATTGAAATCACCAGTAAAAGTTCCTTTAGCTTGGCTAAATACGAAAACTGGACGTTCATTGTTAAACTTGGTCAGGCCAAAAAATGGTTCTCTATGCAAAGGCTTGACCATTGCTTTTTTTAAGGGGTTTGGAAAATCTACCCGAAGAAGAGAAAGTTAATACTCAGTGAGTTTTTGGAGGTTCTTATAAACCAAGCTATGGAATGATCTAACATACAAGTAATGGCACAAACACTTCCAAGAACTTTATCCACTTCCTCAGAAAACAAATGACCAAACAAAACTCAGAATATGAATGCTATTTATTTGCTCCCAAAGATTTTGTTCAAGACCAGATGCATTTTTTTGTTTATCTATTTAGACCTATTGGTGAGTGCATGTTGAAGACAATGTCTCATCTGAAAGTCCAGACTATCCTTTTTGGATAATCTTCCCTGTTGCTTATCAACCAATCAGAAAATAGAACAACAAAAAAAAAGGCTTATGTTTGCCTTACTACATGAGCCGAGATTAGTGCTTGGGGACAAGATTGTTATGTCATCCATTTGCATTGTTTCTTATCACATTCAGAAACCCCTGAATTTTATTTGTTTGAGAAATAATGAAAACAAAAGGATTACCTTACCTTAATCCTGCATTTGTTAAAGAGGCTTGGTTTTTATATAGACTATGCCAGATGGACTGATCATACTTCAGTACTCATATATGCTCTGAAGTGGGTGCCCGCTGGTCACTAATTTTGAAGGCTGTGCAATGGTTCGTGTTCTGTTGAATTGAATTGACTGGTTGTCAAATGGTGCTGTTGTCTTCTCAGCTTTGTGGCTGCAAACCCGCAAGCATATATGTATATAAAGCATAGACAGTCACTTTTTCAGTGCCACTGTAATCTTGCCAGATGAATGGTTACAAGTGAAAGACTACATGCATTCAATAATCTTGTTTGTTTTTCTTTTATTCCTCATAGCAAAATCCCTGCAAGAATTTGCTACTGTTCTAAGGAACCTAGAAGATGAGCGCATACGAATGGTAAGAAACCTGCCTCCTTTTAGATATAATATCATAATTTCTGGGACAGGAATAGAATGCAATCAGTGCTTGGAAAAAACTACAGGGTAAAGTATGATAGGATTTTTTTCCGGATCTTACTGAAATCATATAAGTATGTGTTTTCTCTTCTTAAGGTACATGTTTTCTCTTCTTAAGGTACATGAATGTCATCATGTGTCGCAGGGCTTGTAGGATAGATTAGCTCTTCTCTCCCCCTGATTTTAAAGGGAGTATATATATAGTCTGTGTGTCTGTCTGTCTCTGTCTCTGTCTCTGTCTCTGTCTCTGTCTGTCTCTATCTATCTATCTATCTATCTATCTATCTATCTATCTATCTATCTATCTATCATCTATCTATCTATCTATCTATCTATCTATCTATCTATCTATCTATCTATCTATCATCTACTGGTCTTGTTGTATTTG